AAGTGAAAGAAAGAGCGAAAGGGAGGGAAAAAGAGAGAGAGAGAGAGAGAGAGAGAGAGAAAAGAAGGAGGAGAGAAAAAATAGAAACAGAAAAACAGAGAAAATGAGAGGAGGACATAGAACGCTTGAGAGGAAAAAGAAAGAAAAGGTAAGAGCGAGAGAAATGGAGAAAGATACAGAGAGTGATAGAAAGAGAGTGAAAATGAGAGAGTAAACGTGAGAGAAATTAAGGGAGACAGGAAAGAAGGGAGAGAGAAAGATAGAAAGATAAAGCGAAATAAAGAGAAAAAAGTAGTGTGAGAAGAAAAATGGAGAGAGAGAGAGAAAAAACGAGAGAACGAACGAAAAAGATGTTGAAAATGAAACAGTGAAAGAAATGGGAAGGAAATGAGAGAGAATAATAGATAAATGGAGAGAAAGAGAAGAGGGGAGAGAGAATGTCACAAAGAGAAAGAAAAAAGAAGAAATAGTGTGATAGAGAGTGAAAGAAAGGGAGAAATGAAGCGTGAAAATGAGAGTGAAAGCGAGAGAAAAGAAGGAAAGATAAAAATAGAAAAGGAAAAGAAAGAGAAAAAAGAGAGAAAAGAGAGAGAAATAGATAGAAAGTGTGAGAGGGAAAAGAGGAGAAGTTAGATAAAAGGAAAAAAAAAGAAAGAAATTGAGAGTGATAAAGAGAGTGCAGGAAAGAGAAACGGAGAATGAAAATGAGAGAGTGAAAGAGACAGAAAAGAACGAAAAGAGAAAAATAGAAAGAGAAAAGGCAAGAAAGAGAAAAGAGAGAAAAATGCAGAAAGTGTGTGAGAGAGAGAGAGAGAGAGAGAGAGAGAAGAGAGATTGAGACAAAATAATGATAAAGAGAGTAAAGGATTTTTTGTTTGAATTTCTTGGATGACGAGTTATCATTATTTACATTATTTATATTCGGACTATTATCCTTTTCTTTGTTGTTGGTGTTTCGACCGTTGTGCCCCCCCCCCCCGGCCTTCCTCAGGTATATATCAATCTGGGTAACCTACAGGGAATTCTGAACTGAACCCTTTATTTAATTTATGGGAGTAGACTGCTCTCGTTCCACTGGTCATATTTAAGGATAGTTTCTTGTTCTTATTTAGTACTGTTCACTTATTGCTCGCCTGTTCCCACTGAGTGCAAGGACACACATCAATTACTCACTTTTGTTTACTAGACATTGCATTGTTCGTTACAATAATAAAAAATTATACAGTGTAACCCGGATGTAAGAGAGTTGTCGGGACCGGAGAAGAAGTCTCTTATATCCGGGTTTGGTCTATTTTATATACATTAACACAGGCTCTAATTTGGGACCAGAGAAAATCTCTCTTATATCCGGGTTTCTCTTATATCCGGGTCTCTTATATCCGGGTTACACTAATAATAATTACTGCTAACAAAACGGGCGTATTAAAAATGTATACAAGAAGAACCAGGATGAGAAACTAAATCCCTATAAAGAGGCGAATCGCAACAACAACAACAAAAGCAATGTTCTTTTCCCTCTGGATTGTCGTTATATACATTTTAATATATCCGTTTAGGTTTGGTTTGGTTTGGTTTGGTTTGGTTTACAGCATATTAGCCTCATTATTTAATCCGACAAGATTTTTAGGATTTGTTCATATCAATAGAATATATATTCTTTGTAAGAAATCAGTGTGTAGAAGATTTTTACGGCATATCAATATCTCAATGGGTTATTTAATGCCAACAAGATTTTTATTGCTGCTTATAATATTTTCTTCAAAAATTCATGTTGGTAATTTTTACAAAAATATATTGCTGGTATTAAAACCTATTTTTATGTTTTCATAGTTAACTATTTGTCCGTAGCTGGGATCCTAACAAGTGATACCACCACGGGGGTCAGGATGGACCCTGGAACACCAGCAATTAAGAAGTGCTTCTACATTCCTCAAAACCTCCTGATAAGAGGCCTTGCTGTTGGATGTAGTTTTTCCAGGACGGTATGTTTTGTCAGCATTAATAAAATTTAGTATTCCTATAGATTATTTAAATTGTAATAATAAACTGTGAAAATGTGTGTGTCTTAGGGATTTTTTTGTTTCTTTGTTTGTTTTTTACAAACATAAAAGAAAAAAGAAAAAAAAGATCAGTGGAAAATGTCATGAAGCCATTTCTGACCTTAGGTCTCTGGCTGGGACCCGGAATGAAAACATAAATCCAAGGAAATAATAATAATAATAATAATAATAATAATAATAATAATAATCAATTACATTAAGCTTCAATCTTCTAGAAACAGCTTAATGTACCTGAAACCCTACCAGCAAAATCAAAGTGCATACCATCTACGCCAAACGAGTAAAACAGAAAGCAAAACAACTTGGCCAAATGAAATTACAACAATACTGAGAGGACAAGGCGTTGCATTGCAAATACATAAAAAGAACGAAAGAAGCAGATGTGGACCAGCAGAAAACACATCAGTGGCTGAGGAGCACCGGGTTGAAAGCGGAAACCGAAGGCCTAATTAGTGCAGCTCAGGACCAAAGCCTCTCAACCAGATCCTGTAACTGTCACATAATCAAGGATGGAACTAACCTGAAATGAAGGATCTGCAGAAAATATAATGAAATTGTCGATCATATTACCTAAGGATGTCCGGAACTAAAAAATGAATATACCCACAGACATAACAAGGTAGGGATATATGTCCACCAGAAGATATGCAAGAAGCACAAAATCGAAACCACTGAGAGATGCTATGGACATCAACCAGACACAGTTACCCAAAATAATAATAATAATAACAATAATAATAATGATAATAATAATATGTAAAATATGTGTGATCTTAGGTTTTTTTTGTTTTTTGTTTTACAAAAAATGATTTGTGAAAAAAGTCATGAAGCCATTTCTGACCTTATGTCTCTGGTTGGGACTCGGAAGGAAATGTGTATGCAACAGAAATCAGAGGAAATACTACTACTACTACTACTAATAATAATAGTAAATTGTACCCAAAAGCATAGAACACACATTATGAAGAGCTTTATCTACGTAAAATGGGTGATCTTATTTTTTTTAATGAAAAAAGATCAGTTGAAAAAGTCATGAAGCCATTTCTGAACTTAGGTTGGGACCCGGAAGGAAATGTGTATACAACAGAAATCAAAGGGAATAATAATAATAATAATAATAATAATAATAATAATAATAATAATAATTCCTGGACACATCAGCATCTTGAATCTACAAAAGGTTACTTTATGCGGAACTGTACGAATCATCGGCAAAATTTTGTCCATCTAAACGAAACATCCCAAATGTACATAGATAACTATCCTGCAGTGGCCTTTTTATACATAAACCCCGAAGGAGACTTTTTAATTCGACACTTAAAATTACTCTCTTGCAAGATGATACCACACAATAATAATAATAAAAATATAATAATGTGTCAATCAGAACTTTTACTCTCTTATTTAAATGGAATTATAACATGGAAAAAATATCAACAGAAATTGTGGCATATTCCAAGGGCATTTCCCTCCCTTTTTTTTATTCTGCATTTCACTGATTTTACAATCCATGGAACTGAACAAAACAGGGTATGGACCCAAGATGACAACACTAAAATCATTAGTTACCCATCTTTATATGGTCGAACTTCAATTATACAGAAGGGACGATGAAAAGCTGAAAGGTCTTTTCACAACTATTAAAAAATTATTGGCAACACAAGAACTGAATTTGACTTGGATAAGTTGGAGAAAGCCACATTGATCAAAAAGCTGGAACAAAAAGATGCAAATATTTAGGAGTCAATGAAGGAAATAGAATCCAACATGCAAGTTTGAAGGCAACATTTATATAAAAAAAAAAGAGTATTTTTAGAAGAGCACACACTATTGATACCAATATAACGTTATTCACAGGTTTCAATGGTTCCAAAACTTTATTTTCTCTGGGCCGTATTTTCGGAATGAAAATTTTCTCGTCACTCACCAAATTTTATGCGATAAAAGTATATTAAAAAAAACCCCAAAAAACCAGTGAGACGGTTAAGGGGAGATAACCGCGGATTGGAAGTCAGAACATTATCATTAATAACTCTCTCCTCCAATTTGCAGACTATAGTTACTCTATTCTTAATACTTGATATAATGCAAAAGTATCACAATGATAAACTCGGTCAATAATTATTTATAATTATTTATACTGGGACTCATGCACGCAATTACAAGTAATCCATAATAATATTATAAATTTTGAGATCATATTTATTTTTGGCGTATGAAGTTTTTGAAACTGTTTCTAAATCTCTGATTGTCTTTTAATCATTCCGCCTCATCTGCTATCCTCTTGTGCCTCACCTGCTATCCTCTCCCGCCTCACCTGCTAACCCCTTTCACCGCGCCAACAAGGTGCGCCGCACCGTTTGGGAATTACTGGAAAGTAAGTACACTTGATATATATATATATATATATATATATATATATATATATATATATATATTTCATAGCTTTAACAGATTTAATTGAAATTTGAGTGAAATCAGAAAAAAAAAAAGGACAGATAAATTAGGAAATTATTAACTTGATACAGAATGCCCCAACCGATGTTAGGCGGGATAAATACAGTCATTTAAAATGCCTGCATTTATCCTGAAGCAGCAGGGGCAAGGGAATGGTACATCTGCATATACAAGATGCGGCAGAAATACCTCTCACATATACCTCCCAAAAATACATAAAGGTAAGACATTCGGGCGAATAGTGTCTTCATCTAGTTAATGTCATACCATTATGGGGGAGGTATTTCTGGTGGGGGGATTTCTGCCACACTCGGTACAAAACAAGAATAATTAGAATAGATTAATAGCTTGAGACTACGCTTTATTTATTTACTAATTCTTCTTTTCGCCAGGATCGACGTTGCTTAACTTCGGTGATCGTACAGGAAACCGGTGTTTCACCGTGATATGGCCGTAAGCCAATATCACCTGAACATCCAAATTTACAGCATCTGGTATTTCCAAACGGTCAACCATCTAATTACTAACCGGACTCGACGTTGCTTAACTTCGGTGATCGTACGAGAACCGGTGTTTCAACATGATATGCCCGTAAGCCAGAGTTATCAACGATAGAAAAAGAAGAAAAAAATACTTTTTAATTAATGTGTGTTTTGAAGATGATCGAAATGTATCTGCAAAACTGTCTCAGGATTAAATATAAAGAACTTGAAATTGAAATTTAAAGGATGTGACGTGGAAATTGGTAATTGAAGATAATTATGTTAGTAAAATCCCCGGTGACACATTTGTCGATGAAATCCGCAAAAAAGTGCTTAACAGTCCCGGCGCATATGCCATAGAAGTTATTAGTCACGGACATTTCCAAATGGTACGGTTATCATAAAAAAGACGTACATCTGTTCAAACTTCCATTGCCTTACGTCTTTGTCGATGACCCGGCAAGAGATTCTACCAAAAAGAAATAATAATAATAATAATAATAATAACTAGTAGTACCTGTGAAAATCATCTCGGCTTTCCGGTTTCAATTTTGTTTTCTTTGTTTCTTTGTTTCTTTGTTTCTTTCTTTCACTGAAATCAGATAATGTCTCTGGCTTTTTCCGTCTTTCTTCACGATCAAAACGGAACAGTACATTTTTATGAGGTAGTGGAAGAGTGCTTCTTTTCTTTCTTTCTTTCTTTCTTTTACTGAAATCAGATAATGTCTCTGATGTCTTTTTTCCGTCTTTCTTCACGATCAAAACGGAACAGTACATTTTTATGAGGTAGTGGAAGAGTGCTTCTTTCTTTCTTTCTTTCTTTCTTTCTTTCTTTCTTTCTTTCTTTCTGTGAAATCAAATAGCGTCTCAGATGTCTCCTTTCCGTCCTTCTTCACGACCAAAACAGAGCAGTACATTTTTTATAAGATAGTGGTAGGGCGCTTCTTTCTTTCTTTCTTTCTTTCTTTCTTTCTTTCTTTCTTTCTTTCTTTCTTTTTTCAATGAAACCACGTCGTTTCTGTCTTTACACGCGATCAAAACCGAATAGGCCATTATTTATGAAGGTACTGGCAAGGCGTAACGTACGCGCTAACAAAGGAAATAAGAGTAGCACAAGCAGAATAATAATAATATTTTTTTTTCAAAACTGCTCAGTGGAAAACGTCATGATGCCATTTCTGATCACTGTTCGGGATCCGGAAAGAAATGAGTATACACTAGAAACCAAAGGAGATAAAACATCATCATTATCATCATCAACAACAACAACAATAATAATAATAATAATAATAGTAATAATCCCACTTAATATCTTGCATATTAGTATGATCCAAAAATGCAGGTATTGTGCCCATGATTCACCTGGAATTGTCTTCCAAAATTTTAACAATGTAAATGGTAGCTATTTAAGATTACAACTCATAATGTAGAAGAAAAAAAGTAAAAAGCTTTATTCCATATCAAAAGAAGCCCCAAAATATACAAGTGAATTCAGAATGAATCCTGAAAATAGCAGTGAAGTCGATACGGCAGCCACAAAACCAGTCAGAAAACTGAAACAAGAAGTGAAAAAGTTAAGCCAAAAGCAAAAAGACGAAAAACCGGATCTCTGCATCAATTCTTAACCCACCAGTGGCTAAGGGGGTCAGGACTTAAGAGTGAGACTGAAGGACTTATTATTGCTGCACAAGTCTACAGCCTATTTACATGAAGCTTCTTTCTTTCTATGTGCCATGTCCTTTCAGGACGTAGGAGATCATAGCTTTCTACCTCCCTCTATCCTTTGCAGCTCTCAACAAGTTCCTTCCCAAACCTCTCAAACCACGTTCTGTCATCCACTTACTAAAGGCCGACAGGGATGTAATGCGTTGTTTTCCCGTGTCTCTCTTCCCCACTATTCGACTCGTGATTATCAGATTCTCCAGGCCCTCCTTCCTCATTATGTGTCCCAGAAACTTCAGCTGCCTCTTCCTGATGTTAAGTATAAGCCTCCTTGTTTGCATCTTCTCCAAGACCTCATCGTTGCTCCCACGCTCGGTCCATGATATCCTCAGTATCCTTCTGTAAAACCACATCTCCGTCGCCTCGAGTCTATTTTCTTTATCTTTGAGGAAATCGTCCAACATTCGCTGTCGTAAAGAATGACAGATGTCACGTAACAGTTCAGTATTGTTTTCTTCGTTACCAAAGATATCCTCCTGTCTCGCAGTATTCTGGCCAGCTTTTGGAATGCGTCCTTGGCCATCCCAATACGTCTATGGAACTCAGTGTCACATTTACCATCCTCTGTCAGAACGCTTCCCAGATATTTAAACATCCGTGTCTGCTTCATTCTAGTGTTCCCGACCTGCAAATCGTATTTCGGGCTCTTCCTCTTACAGATGACCATGCATTTTATTTTCTTGTAGCTTATGCTTAGTCCCTTCTTCTCACTCACCGTCGCTACCTTCTGTTGGAGATTTTGTAATTTCTTTTCCGTGACTGCTATCAGTACTGTTTCATCTGCGCATATTATATTGTTAAGATTGAGATCGCCAATGCTAAATCCCGGTAGGGTTTCCAATTCTCTCAGAATTGCCTTGCTGTACAGGTTGAATAGGTCTGGTGAGAAGACGCATCCTTGCCTTACACCCCTTTGTATTTTTGTATATGCGCTGAACACGTTCTCTATGCGCATGCACGCTGTTTGCTGACAATATAGGTTCTTGATTATTCTGATATCTTTTCCGAATATATCGAGCTTGCTGAGCAGTTCCATCAGATCCTTCTGGCGTACTTTATCGAAGACCTTTGCATAGTCTATGAAACATAGATACACGTCCTGATAACATTAATACGGACCTGTGACGAATACATTGAAATTATTGATCATCTTATCTAAGGAGATTCAATACTTACACACAATTAGTTCAATAGCCGTCATGACAATGAAGATCTGTCATCACTACGAAGTAAAAACAGTTTCAAACTGGTACGTGCACCATCCCGAATCTGTAGCTGAGGGAGAAAATGTTAGTTACTATCTTCCGAGAATTTTCTGTCAAGCAAATCGCATAGACATAATTACTGGAGACAAAAAATAAATAAATAAAATTCACACTGATTGGCATGAGTGACAAAAACATCTCTGTGAAGGTTTTTGAAAAATTAATCAAATACAAAAACATGGAGATGGAAATAGGAAAAAATGTGACACTTAAAAACAAAAACTGTTCTTGTTGTGGTTGGAGCTCTGGGTCTTATCATGAAAGGAACTCAAGAAGAAATCTACAAAATCCTTGGTGCACCATCTTTCCAGAAAATCTCAATAAATAGTTCTAACAAGCACAGCCCATGTCCTGCTAAGAGCTTTGTCCATTTCGGTTTTTACGTTAATAGCCGTCTTTTGTTTAAATAAGTGGAAACAACAAAAAGCTCCAATCCTTCGCTTGGCCGAGGGTAATTAGTTGGCGAATATAAAACAAATCCAGAATGTTTTATATATATATATATATATATATATATATATATATATATATATATATAATTTTAAATTAAAAAAAAAATACAAGATCATCATTTTGGATTTCAAATATACAAACTCAAACAAACAATTTACAATTTATATACCAACATAATGTCTCTACGAAGAATTTATATGTGATAACCTACCACAAAAAATTGCCTATTGTACATTTCCCGCCATTAAATAACCCAAAAAGTGTTGATGTGCCGGAAAACCAACCAATTAATCAATCAAAACCATCTCTGCGGTGGTTTTTGAAAAACATTAAGCAAATAAAAAAAACCTGGAGATGAAAATAGAAAAAAATGTGACACTTAAAAACTAAAACTGTTCTTGTTGTGGTTGGAGCTCTGGGTCTTATAAAGAAAGAAACTCAAGAACAAATCCACAAAATCCTTGGTATACCATCGCTCCAAGAAAATCTCAAAAAACAGTTCTAACAAGCACAGCACATATCCTCATATTTTTCGTTAAGTGAAAACAGTCAACCCTTCGCTTTCCCGACGGCATATGATTATAAAACAAACATAGATCAAAAAGAATTTTTTATGACCCTATTATAATTGTGCTTAACCCTCCTTTCGTTAATTCACGTGACCGTTACGCCCTGCCAATACATCATAAATAATTTATTCCGTTTTGATCGCGTGGTAAGAAGGGAAAAGACTACTCGGCTTCAGTTAGAAAATGAAAAAATGAAGGGAAGATAGAAATGAAGAGAGAGAGAGAGAGAGAGAGAGAGATTAAGCTGATAAGAACAGATACTACACTTTTATTACTACCAAACTCTACCCTATTTAATGCAATAAGGGATGTGCTGCCATAGGCAGCTGTTTCCCAAGAGAAAGCATCTCTCAATAATATTTTATTTTCGCTCTGTCCATAGACAAACGCAACTGAGAGATAAAATATAGTTTATCCGATCAAGGGCAGATACTACACTTTGATCTCAGCCAAAAGTCGGAGAGTCTATGGCGACTGCGATATAGTGACATTTTTCAGACGCATAATATCGAACGATAGTAAGGAAATCGCCAAAAATCCAGTTACCACAAATAACATAATCTGTTGAATTATTTTAAAATTATTATTAAGACGGGAATTTGGCTAGAAAGAAAGAAAGAAAGATAGAAGTGTTTAACGTCTCCTACCAATACCTAATGATTAATGGATTATTTGTTTTTGATCACGTGGAAAGACGGGAAAAGACACTACTTGGTTTCAGTGAGAAAATGAATGAAAGAAAGAAAGAAAGAAAAAAGTAAGAAAGGGAGGAAGAAATAAAGAAAGAAAGAAGGAAATAAAGAAGAGAAGGTAGAAGTGTTTGACGTTTCCTACCAATACCTCCTAAATCATGGGCTATTCCGTTTTGATTGCGTAGAAAAACAAATTACATATGCTACTTGGTTTCAGTGAGAAAATAAATGAATGAATGAAAGAAAGAAAAAAGAAGAAAAAAAGGGAATATAGAAGTGTTTAACGACTGTTTCATGGAAATGGAAAAAGTTGTCAATTTCAAATCTTTTCATTTGTACCCCCTTAAAATAATGACCAGCATTCATATTTATGATTGTTATTGCAATATTTTCTTAAATTTGTTAGGCTCAA